TAGTGGCCTGGATCATCGTGTACTTCGTGCTTATCAAAGGTGTTGAAACATTTGGAAAGGTACGTGATCGGCTATTAGCAGTTATAATAGTACTGGCAGCACAGGATGGGATATTTTGAATTCGTTGCTCTGGTAATGTAAATATAACAGCAACAATAACAACAACAAAAACAATAATAATGATAATAATAATAATGATAATAATAATAATAATAATAATAATAATAATAATAATAATGATAATAATAATAATAATAATAATAATAATAATAATAATAATAATACAAGCACAGAATGAGACATGCTGTACCATATACATTCTATGATACTTTACTTTCAACTTTGCAGGCCGTCTACTTCACAGCAACCTTCCCTTATCTTATCCTCATTGTACTTCTGGTAAGAGCAGCCACTCTTCCAGGATACATGGATGGTATTAGATTCTACCTGACACCAAACTGGGACAAGATTCTGACACTATCAGTGAGTTTTATTTTCTTCTTTTTCTTCCTTAGTTGCGTTACTTCGATTGTGAACTATTTATAGAACCGCGAAAGACGAGAGTTTCACGGATAAACTAGCTTGATATTTTTTTTTTTTTTTTTGTCAGGGATCTCTTTTGTATAAATGACATGGAAGTAATAGCACCACAATGAATATCCTCTTTCATAACAGGTTTGGCGTGATGCTGCGATCCAGATCTTCTTTAGTTTATCTCCCTGCTGGGGCGGCCTGATCACCCTTGCATCATACAACAAATTCAACAATAACTGTTACAGGTAAATGGCGTTTCATGTATCCAAGCTCATGGAGTTGTATACGTATATATTTATTTCTTTACATTTGTAAAGACGGAAAGTGAATTTACTTTTGTGCGACAGGCATTTTGGCATAAATTAAAATCTCGACAGTGGAAACTTTCTGCTACAAGTTTTATGTAACCTCTGTACGTATAATGATGCATACAGTATGTAATTTCTGCAATGGAATCTTAATTTTACCAATCAACTTGCAGGGATGCATTTGTGGTATCCATTGGTAACTGTCTCACGAGCTTCTTTGCTGGCTTTGTGATCTTCGGTATCATTGGCTTCATGGCTCACGAACTAGGATTGCCTGTAGAAAAGGTTGCTGTGCAGGGTAAGTGACTTTTAGAGTTACACAACCTTCCTCAGTCTTCAGCAGGGTTAGCATATCCTGCAGATAACTAGGTGTTGGCATCTTCCATAAACAGATCTCAGTCCATAGTGGACTTCTTTTTTTCAGCGTATTAGAGTCGCTAAACCGAATTGGTTTTCCGTGACGGCATGAGGCTCCATTCAAAGGGTGTACAGTAGAGGAAGACGATAAAAATTTAGCCATCTTCGTCTGTTTTACCCACTTGAGTGAAAATGCCAAATCCGTTATGGTTGCATTGCTTGTGTTCAAAGATTCATTATGGCGATACCAACACCGTGAGACTGACTGCTGCATGATTTGACTTTGAAAGTATCGTAATGACTAGATCGTAATCCATTTTTAGCAGCTTTGATCATTCAAAAGAAATGCTAAGCACTCAGTCTCTCTCCGTCTGCAAGGAACCTTGGTTCATATGTCTTTCATAAAAAGAAAGTGCTCCTCAAGTAGTCAAAAACACATTGCAGTGTTACTCTTCTCCACAGTCATACTTTCACAAATGATTCTAAAAACTCAAAAGCACATTATATAAACCTTTGTGCTGACATGTGAACCACCACTCTCACTCACGGCCTCCATATTTTATAAGTGGTACAGTAAGTCATTGGTTTAAACTTTCATCAACATCATTACTCTTGATTTCACTACATCAGACTTACAATAAAATAATCATACTAAAGTCAAGTAACATTTCAATCATTGCCAGATAGTTTTCATTTAATGTAATGATATATATCAAACACTTTGTACAGTCACAATTTGAATGATTTAATCTTTCATTCTAATTTCATTGCCAGAATCCAGAGGATATATACATCATGAAATCTTAATGTTTTCTAAGTAGCTTTGGTCTATGTTCCCACTGCACATGCTAAACACAAATAATGGAGTGGATGGGTATGTATAGGTTTTTCCAGATCCGTGTTATTTGGTTCAAGTCTCCAGTGAATCGCTTCTTGCAATGTGAGTTGGTAGTCCGTTGTTGTTATATCTAGAATTTGCAGGTCCTAGTGTTGCGAGGTTTAGTAAAGGTAAGTTTCCAATACAAAGACTGTATTCTGTATGGTTTAGAAAGATATAGGTGCTGTATTTGGCAATTTGAGAGACAAGTCCAAATATGATGCACGGTAAGTGTATTTGGAACAGAATGAACACAGATTCAGAATCACAAGAATTCAGCATCCAGTATACACACTTCATATAATTATTCTTTACTTTCTTGGTGCGTATTTTGTGTCTTTTTTATTGCACGCTTAGCACTGATTGCTGATGTAAGTACCACTGTTATAATGTACATTTAAGCATTCAGCAGAATGAAAATTATTATATGTAAATCCTCGTCATCTGCGTTATTCCTAAGCCCTCTGGAAACAATGAAAATTTTCCAGTCCCTAGATCCATTTATATATAAGTCGCTTCATCGATATGCCAATCGTTTGGCGTGGCAAGTGCCTTTGAGGCCGTCACTTCACCGTCACTAGTAGGGTAGCATTTCTCCGCAACAAGATCTGATGTGGAGTCGTTTTATGCACGTTCTAGGAGCGGGCCTGGCGTTCGTGGCTTACCCCGAGGCCGTGGCCCGCCTACCTCTGTCGCCGGTGTGGTCCATCTTGTTCTTCGCCATGTTGCTGACTCTGGGTCTTGGCACGCAGTTTACTATCCTAACCACCATCATCACCACCATTACTGATGACTTCCCAGCCCTGCGCGGCAAGAACTTCAAGTGAGTCAACCCACCATCACCTCAGCGGCAACTTACCATCCCAACCATGTATTTATTAACAGTATTGTGGGATGAACTCACTTGTGGTATGTTACTTTATGTGTGACTAACCCTTCATTCATGGCAGGGTGTCAATCAGCCTCTGGAGCACCTGGCTAGAAGGCCATTTCCTCATTTTAATCAATGATCACCATTTCTCTCCCCTGCACAAGCATCAAGTATGCAACAACTGCAGGAGACCAGAAATGTTAGCACGGATATTACTATGTCATTAAATATTTATGATTGCTTGTAAAGGCAGTGGTTACCACTATTCCACTGGAGTGATATGCCTCAGCCTGGCTCTGGTAGCCAGTTGTCCTTACCGATGGCTTTCTCACACTCCAATGGCTAAGTAGTAAACACTGCTGCTGCTTATTCAGACCATTAATCATGACATTCTACTCAAGGAAAATAAACGATTGTTCTCATCCCTCTTGATGGAGAGTGTCCACTGAACACAGAGCTGTACCAAACTGTTCTGTCATACCAAAGGATTGTATGGAATTACTGTATTGCCTTTTATTAATTTCTAAATATCACCTGTCATAAACATTCTAAGTCACAAATATCTTCTGTGTACCAAATATTTCTTGTAACTCCTGAGTTGTGTGTGGATATGCATCATCGAGTAATTACAACTCCACGCGCATGATCAGAAATAATCCCTCACCTTAAATCACAGGTGGGCCCTCCTGTGTTCCTGCCTCGTGATGTTTGCTGTAGGGCTCTCCATGGCCACTAAAGGAGGCATGTACGTTCTTCAAATGATGGATTCGTATTCGTCCACCTTCTCTGCTCTCATGGTCGGGATGGCTGAGGTAAATGCACATTTCATTTTATCTTTGTATTTTTGTAGACTATGGCAACTATTTTTTTTTTTTTTTTACTGAATATATAAGTTGGTCTTGATTTCGATGCACTATAACGTCATAAAAATCAGTTATAAACTCAAACATCATAGTAATCAATTCTAAACAGAGATTGTTAGCTGTGATTTTTTATGTCTTTTTTTTATATATTTTAGATACTTCTAAACCTTTCCAAAACTGATAAACTTTAGCTATAATAATATATATCACATACTTGATTTACTTGAATTGTCTTACAAGAAGGACTTACGGAAAATGCAAACTCTACTTGTGTCTAACAGGTGGTGGTTGTGACGTGGGTGTATGGCATAGACAACTTCCTCAATGACATCAAGGCAATGTTGGGGAGATACCCATACCCCATGTTCTTCTGGAAGTATGTGTGGAAGTTTGGAATGCCTTTGCTTGTGCTGGTAAGTATAATTCTCTGCCTCTCTGTCTCTGTCTCTGTCTGTCTCTCTCTGTCTCTGTCTCTCTCTGTCTCTGTCTCTGTCTGTCTGTCTCTCTGTCTCTGTCTCTGTCTGTCTGTCTCTCTGTCTCTCTCTGTCTCTCTCTCTCTCTCTCTCTCTCTCTCTCTCTCTCTCTCTCTCTCTCTCTCTCTCTCTCTCTCTCTCTCTTTCAAATACTTGAAATAATTTCTACTTGCTTTCTGTGCCTTTATTTATTATAATATGTTGAAATATAGTTCAAGGCATGACTCTAGTAAATACAGGGAGGAAGGAATGTTGATGACGATGTAAATACTTTCCATCGTTATATTGACTAGGAAATTCTGTAGACTTCCTGAGAACAAGGAAGTGGAGGGTAAAAGCAGTGATGAAAATGAGGAAGTCTGTAGCCGAAAAGGTGTTCTATTGATCGGATAATGCAGTTATGTGATAGAATCTTTAATTGTAAGGAAGTAAAGGTAGTGGGGTACGGACGTATTGAGGGATAGACGTTCATATCATTAACTGAAAGCTCATTAGCACCTTTTATAATCGGTTCCAGTGATTTCTTCTTGGATTAGTTATTTGTTATATAAACATTTATTCAAATTTAAGTTACTGATAAGCACCAAATAAATCATCATCGTCAGTGATCTTCCCTCAATTTTAGGCGAAACAGATATTGTTTGAACAATCGATTTCCCGACGCCAGTGATCATGGTGCCTCCTTCACAAATCCACAGTCTTTCGACATGTGTGTGCATACACATGCACTCACACGCATGCACGCACGCCCGCACACGCGCTCACATACACACACACACACACTCACTCACTCACTCTCTCTCTCTCTCTCTCTCTCTCTCTCTCTCTCTCTCTCTCTCTCTCTCTCTCTCTCTCTCTCTCTCTCTCTCTCTCTCTCTCTCTCTCACACACACACACACACACACACACACACACACACACACACACACACACACACACACACACACACACACACACACAAAAAAATTATTGCAACAGGATGTTAATTTCACGTATGTTTGTTTTTGTTTTTCCAGAAAATCTTGGTTTTTTCTTGGATTGACTTCACCCCGGCAAAGTACGGTGCATACGAATTCCCTCCATGGGCCAATGTGCTAGGGTGGTTCCTGTCCTTCTCCTCCGTGGCACTCATTCCCGCCGTTGCAATCTACAAGATCCTGGGTGAAAAGGGCTCCCTTATGGAGGTAAATATGATTGTTGTTTTTATCCTTTTTTATGTAACTGATATGGTTCAAGGATATTCACGTTCAGATTTCGAGAAAGGTGCTAGCAGTTTTAGTAAAGTTTTATTATTATTTGCTGCAAAAATGGTAATGGATATTTTTCAGTGAAATGTGATTTATACGTATATGCCACATTGTAACGAAATCTCTTATATTGTTGATATTATTGATTATGTCTGGGCGACCAAGTTTTTACTCGTGGAGATATATATATATATATATATATATATATATATATATATATATATATATATATATATATATATATATATATATATATTATATATATATATATATATATATATATATATATATATATATATATATATATATAGATGTATGTATGTATGTATGTATGTATGTATGTATATGGACATTCCCAGTAATCACTCCTTAACCCAGTAATTAATGAGAGTCACAGACTGCTGCCACTACCCTGCCCAGACACAGCAACCTTCATGCTCAGTGTCTTTCATGACCCAACACACTCTCACTCAATTATTTCACATTTGTTTAATTTGCTTGTACTGCTTCACTACATATTTCAGAGATTTCTTACTACAAAATAAGCAGAGAAACTTATTTAATGTATCATTTTTTTTACAGAGAATAGAGAAGCTGTGCAAACCCCAGCCAACATGGGCACCTCCAGCAGATGTGACTATAAGGCCAAATGATTCTTTTGGTGCCAAACCTCTCCTGAAGGTCACTTCTTTTGGTAAGCAAAAATTTTAATAATGATTGTGAACATAAATTTTACACAGATATCTGTTTTAAAATTTCCTATCCTTGAAACAACATTAGCTTTTGTATTTGTTCACCCTTGCCATATTAGCATAATTACCTTAACATGAAAATCTGAAATCTAGAAATACATCCCAAATAATCTGTTGATCTTTCAGATGAAGACACTGAAAACAAAATATAGAAAGCTGCTTCCAACAAGTTTGTTACTACTGCTTTACCTCCTTAGTCTCCAGTTCGGTTTATTGTGCCAAGTATCCAGTATTTGTGGGACGTGATGGTTCTCCCTCTCCAAAGGGAGTGTCTGGATCAAGCGAGGGGACACCGTTACACAGCTTCTACCTTACCAGGCTGTGCTAGGTGTCCCCACAACAGGATGTGTGGTACTGTTACTGATGTTAGTTTCATTATGGGAAGAGTTATGAAGGGCATCTTTCCTCACTGACTAAGGAGATCACCAAAGACTAGACATAAACTAGTATTTTGTAAGAGGTCTCTTGGTATTAGCTTGGATGTAGTTCTGTGTTGTGTGCTTGATGCAGGAAAGCTACAAATTAATTTAGGTGATTTCTGTGTTTTGTATGTTACTGGTAACTGTTGTCTGTTACAATAAATGATATAATGTATAAGTTCAGAACTTTCTTTTATCAAAAAGATAATGACAAGGTGTAAAATGTTTTCACTGTAGATAACGTTTCAGTTATTATTATAAAATAGCATTGATGAGAAATAGTTTATAAATATCCATAGCTCTCACCTCTTTTGATTATCTTGGTTATGCATTTTGTAACAACAGATCCTATGTTTTTTGAAGTGTAAGTCATCATACTTTTATTCTCAGGATTTTAAAATGCTGTTAATCACATAAGTAATAACAAAGTGCATATCTTTTACTTCATATTTTATAGTTTCAGTAGAGTAGGGGATTCAATAATGTGTAAACAATAATATGTAAATGTTCTGACCTCATCAGAGACAATAATAGTGTCTTTAAATTTTGTTAAATCTTTATTCAATAATGGCTTATGATACTTATATTGGTTACTGTTATACTCTATAATGCCATAAATCCATGAATCTGGTCAAAACTACTTTTTTAATCATGGCACTATTAAAATAGTGACAAATCATCCTATTATTGATACTTTACAGTTATTACACACACACACACACACACACACACACACACACACACACACACACACACACACACACACACACACACACACACACACACACACACACACACA